TGGATAAGATAATGGAATATATATATATATATGCACATATATACACTATTCAGCCACCAAAAAAAAAAAAAAGGAAATCTTGCCATTGGCGACAACATAGATGGACCTTGAGGGCAATATGTTAACTGAAATAAGTCAGAGAGAGAAATACAAATACTGTATAATCTCATCTATATGTGGAATAAACAAACAAAAACAAGAGTTCATACAGAAAACAGATTGGTGGTTGACAGGTGGTAGGCAGGCAGTGGGCAAAATGGGTGAAGATAGTCAAAAAGTACAAACTTCGAGTTATAAAATAAGTCATGGGGATATAATGTACAGAATGATGACTGCAGTTAATTATACTATATTGTATATTTGAAAGTTGCTAAGAGAGTAAACCTTAAAAGTTCTCATCACAAGAAAAAAATTTGTATAACTATGTGTGATGGTAGATGTTAACTAGACTTACTGTGGTGATCTTTTCACAATATATAGAAATACTGAATCATTATACTGTACAACTGAAACTACTATAATGCTATATGTCAATTATATCCCAACATATAATTTTTAAAAAGACCCAAACCATACTTCTAGCAATGAAAACTACAAGGTCTGAAATGCTTTGCCATAGCAGAATTTTCCATAAAGCCATCATTTATTTTCTTGGATATTCTCGTACCCATAACTCTCAACTGCACTGGAGGGGATTAATGGCAGATTAGACACTGCAGAAGAAGAGGGTGGTGAACCTAAGGCATAGCAGTAGAATTCATACAAAATGAAACACACAATAAAAAAAAAAAGAATCCTCCCCAATTAAGAGCATCAGTGAGCTGTGAGACAATTTTCAAGTGGCCTCATATACAGATGATTGGAGTACTCAATAAGAGAAGAGAGGGATATAGAATAACCAAAAACGTTACAAACTTGATGAAAACTATAAATCCATAGATCCAAGAGGTTCAACAAACCCCAAGCTCAATAAACTATATCAAGACACATCATAATCAAAAAAATCTTATAAGCAGCCAGAGAAAAAAGGCATGCAATATACAAGGGAACAAAGATATGGATGAAAGCAGATTTCTCATTGGAAACAATGCAAACAAGAGAAGCATCTTTGAAATACTGAAAGGAAAAAACTATAAACCTAGAATTCTATACCCAACAAAAATATCTTTCAAAAACAAAGGCAAAATAAACAGTTTTTCAGACATACAAAAGCTGAAAGAATTCATCACCATCAGATCCACATAACAAGAATCTTAAAGGAACTCCTTCGGGCAATAGAAAAATGACACCAGATGGAAATCCACATAAGAGAATGAAAAGCACCAGAAATGGTAACTACATAAATACATATCACAATTCTTTCTGAAAGTCTAGCTCTGAAGGGGGCAAGAATGACTGGGTAGTTGTTACTGGCAGGCAGGAGGCTAAGGTGGGGTTTTGTTTTGGTTTTTAGGGCATAGGAGAAATTTAAGGATACATAAAGCTGATGGGAAAGCAGGTTAGTAAGAAAAGATGACAGTATAGGTTAGATGGAACAGAACACAGGGCTTCAGAAGCAAGGTAGGTCTTTCACACAAGAGGATCAAGCACCTCTTTGGCTGTGACCTAGAGAAGGGGCTGAATATCTGGGCAGGGAACTCTGCCAAGCTGGTGGAGATGGCAGTCTTTCTGAGAGGCAAAGAGAAGATATCCAGCACACGCTATCCCCTCTCTGAGGCTGGTGGTTAAGTGTGCAACAGAGATTTGTAGTACAGAGGTTTGACTGTGAGGACAGGCAGACATGGGCATGAATTGTGACTTCTCAACTTCTGCTGCTTGACCTTGGTAAAAGACTTAGGGATGCTGAGTCTCAGTTTACTCATCTATAAAACAGGGACAATAACATCTACTTTATAAGCATTTAAAGATTAAATAAAAATGATGCTCAAAAACCACTAAGTACACTGCTTGGCACATAGTGAATGCTTTCATTACTGGTCATTGTGTTACTATTCCTCACCATTCTTCCTGCTCAGCAAGCTGGCCGCCATGCCTCCTTCCAGGGAAAGGAAAGACCTGCCTATTCTTCGTAAATTCTGAATGACAAGCAACACCAAAGGGTCTGGACTTCAATAGGACTGTGGGGAATGGGGTGAAGGAGCAATGGTAGTAAAGCCCCCACTCCTGGGCCCAGTCATGCCTCCAGGTGGCTGCCTTCCCCAGGGAGCTTGCCCTGGCAAACACAGGTTTCCCTGGGAGTCTACTGTGTTTTTCTCTTCTGTCCCTCACTCAGGGACCTCAGCAAAATGACCTTCTTAAGAAAGTGGTCCGGCAGGGTGCAAAGTAACGCATGGGAGCATTGCAGTCAGAGAGACAGGCTCTGCCAATTACCAGAACCGCAAACTTACGCATGATTACTTAGCCTCTCTGAGCTCACCATCTTCATCTGTAAAACGGAGATACTCACAGAACCTATCTGAGAGTGGGAGGGAGGACTAAATGAGATAATGATAGAAAGCAGAATGCACAGTTCCTGGCTCCTAATAAGGGGCCATAAATGTCGGCTATTCGTATGCTGATTATCATTAGTAATAAAGTGCTGAGCACACGGTGGGTAAGCCTCAGTAAGCGCTAATACACGGTCACTCCTAACTGACAGCCACCTGCTGAGGGGCCTGAACGCGGCCTGGGCTTCCCTCCCGCTGCCCCACACCCCAGACCGCGAGCAGGGACCACCAGCGGAAAGACGTCAGGACAATGCGGGGAGAGGGGCTCCGGAGGGCGCCCGTAAGAGGGAGGGCGCGCAGCTGCGGCCTTCGCGCAGGTCACCCTGGTAGCCCGCCACCCCGCCCGGCATCTCCCGCATGGCCGCCTGCGCCCCCGCCCACAGCCCGCCGCCCGCACTCACCCTCCTGGCCGCGGGCGGGAGGCCCGAGCACCCACAGCAGTACCTGCCACCAGCCAAGAAGCCGCATGGTGAGAGGCGGGCCGCAGCCGGGACCACCACCCAGGTCAAAGAGCAACCGGCGCACAGCGACGTGAGTCCGGATCCCGGCCGGAGGAAGGCTAGGGGAGGAGAGCTGGGAGCGCGGGCGCGGCCCCGGCCGCCATCTTGGCAGCTGGCAGCCGCCGCAGGCGCCATCTTGGAGTCGGGCGGCCGCGTCTGTCTTCAGGCCTGTGCTGTTGGGGTCCGGGCAATTTAGGAGCCAGGCGCCAGCCGTCTCGGGACTTTTCGAAGTTCCCTGACTGCCAAGTCCTGCGCGGGGTTGTAGTAGAGGCCCACGGCTCTCTATCTTCACGCGCGAGTCGGGGCCTGGCGGCCGGCAGCACACTGCGTCGGCCCGATGCTTCTTTCTCGGGCCAGCAAAGCCCAGAAGCCTCCTCCTCAAGTGCCCATTGAGCTGCAGATCTTCGAATCCCCTGCCTCACCCGTGCTAGCCTTAACAGGTTGCCAGATAAAGCACAGGATGCCCAGTTAAATTTGAATTTCACATAAGGAGTAATTTTTTACTGTAAGAGGTAGACGGAAATTCAAATTTGACTGAGTGTTCTGTAATTTTATTTGCTATATCTGGCAACCCATATCCTGCCTATCTACTCAGGGCAGTTTTTTTTTTTTGTTGGTTTTAACTCACTCACCTGCAGGCCAGTATCTCCTTCCCTAAACCACCCCTAAGGCCATCTCCAGAATTAAAGCTAGGAAAGGGCCTAGAATGTAGAAGACATGGGGATGGGAGGGTGTACAACTGAGGAGTGGGGCTCTGCTTTCCCAAGCAGAAGCACAGAAGGGGAGTCTAGGAGAAAATTCTTGGAGGAAATAAAAAGGATGACTTTAGTCAGCAAGTAGGGTATTTTAAGGAAGAGGGCCTCCTAAAATCGAACAAAGCAAGTTTTGAGCAGCCACCAGTGCTAAATCAGAGAGTGCAGCTTTCAGGGTTATTTTAAGAGGCTGAAAAAAACAGAAATAGATTTAAAACATCTTTACAACAAATCATTGGTAAATATAGCAATGTTAAGAGGAACCTGGGCTTTTTGGCCATGAGGTGAAATCCTGGCTCTGCCATTTTTAATAGTATACGGTTGACAGCAGGTTATCTAACTTTTCTTAAAGTTCAGTTTATTTATCTCTAAAATCAGGATGAAATTATATATGGATAAAATATGTAAAGTAATGAATACAATGCCTGGTGCACATTAAGCACTTCAGAGTAGTAGCCATTATTATCTGGATCATACAATTTCAGTGGAGTAACCATAGTTCCCTTGTGACCATCAAAGAGAGATTGTTAGATCGGAAAGATGCATCATGAATCTGCCCCTATGGATAATTTGTATAATTTAAATAGGCTGCCATTGTTTTGCTATAGTAAATTCTCTAGTGGGTGGAGGATCTGAGGCAATGGACAACATGGCTGAATGGGTCAACAGTTCTTGAGTTGATCACTAAAGTCATCATTTGGCTAACAACCTCCCTCATCTATAACAGTGTAATAGCAAACCTTTACTTTTTCACATAACCTTCATACTGTATTTGAAGGTACATGAAAAGCCAATGGGACAGAGGATTACGGGAATTTAGGATTGATGAAAAGGAGGCTGATTGGACTCCTGTGGACACTCCAATGTGGATCCCCCGTGGTTACTTACTCTTTCCTTTTTATCATGTCCTTTTCCTCCCTGTGTTTGTGTTTTGACTGTTTTGTTTCGACAGATGCATTACAGATGGTAGAACTGTTATCTTCTGATAAATACTATATATACACTCTCTAATGACAACTCAATAAATCCAGCCACAAGATAGAAAGCACATTTGACTGCCTTGCTAGTATGGGGCACCTGCACTTATTTTCAGTGAGAAAATTTCTTTCAGATGTAAAACCTTGATTTTATTTTCATTTCTAGGAGGGGAAAAAGTTGACATCCTCTTCCTTTGGCTGTAATGAACTCTATGCACCAACACTACACAGCTTGGGGATTGTTCATACAAGAATCTGATAATAATTGGAGTTGTGCACAGCTACACAGCTGTACTCTGGGTGTTGTTTGCCCCTTAGACAGGTTTGCCTAGATTTTTTTTTAATCTGATGCATGATGAGGGCCTCTTTCTCTCCCTCCCTCCCTCTCATCAACAAACAAGTATTTTTCATGCAGATCACTGTGGCAAAGTGTATTTTCCAAAGATTGCCACACTAACATTCCCCATCCTACATGCTGTTGTGCAAAGTAATTTTGCCATTGCAACATCAGTACATAGAATCTAATTCCCCTCCCTTTAAATCTGGATGGGCCTGTGTTTCACATATAATCAACAGAATGTAGCAGTATATGAAACAATCCTGTATGATTTCTGAGGCTACACAGATTTATCCTTTTTTGCTGGAAGGTTTGCACAGGCGTTCTGAGCCATGAAGTATGTACATGGACTGTCCTGAGGCTGCTACGCTCTGAGGAAGTTCAAACTAGCTTGCATAGAGAACCCCTGACACTACATGAAGATGCCCACCACCAGGAGCTGATCTTAGTCCCACTCTGTTCCAACTTTGGCCATCATTGAACTGCTTCTGCCTGGGGCCGTAACTAGAAATGTCCAATTTGAGCTCTTTCCAAATTCCTAACCCACAAAAGCAGATTTAAAAATTGTTATTTTAATGGAGAAAAAGTCTTTTCAGCAAGTGGTGTTGGGAAAGCTGGACAGCCGCATGCAAATCAATGGAAGTTAGGACACTCCCTCACACCACGCATAAACTCAAAATGGCTTAAAGACTTAAACATAAGACAAGATACTATATATTTGTGAAATATAATGTTTTTACTTAAATGCCTTTTTTCCTCCTGACTCCCCCACCATCACCCCATGTTATCTACTATTAATGGAGTTTTGCACGTATCTTTTTGGGTATATTGGTAAACAAATTAATATGCAAGTGGTTTTTTGGGGTCCTTACACTAGCTACAAATTTATATGCAGTAAACATGGTTTATATATAAATTGTCGTAATTTGTCCAACTACCATTTGTTGAAACAATTCCAGTGAACTGGAACTGCCAGGACTAAGGGTATCCAAAATTTATATTTTGAGTCCAAGCTATAGATTTCCCCCTAATTACATAGATGAGTCCTCATCAATCTTGTGTACACACACACACACACACACACACACACACACACACACACACAGTGGAATACTACTCAA